AGAGAGGTGAAGTTGAGGTTCGTACCGCAGTCGGCGACGCATTCCGACGCGTTTTCGTAGAGGCAGTTGAGTTGAGAGTTGAGATACCGTACAGAGTGAACGGCGCTGTTTCCGTCGTGACACATTTTGAGGTGTTGTTACTTTTGCTCTTCCTTCAAGGAAAGATGGATTATAGGGAGGGTGTAGTAGTAATGGGAAAAAGGAGTCACAGAAAACACGCGTTGGAAAAGAGATGAGAGTATACGAGAAAAGCTGTCGAGGGGATAGCTTGAGGAGCACAACAAACCGACAGGCAGGACAGTTTATATACCCCTCGCCAACCGCGAAAAGGGAACAATCCTCCCGATACGGCACTTTTCAGCTCTGCACTCAGTCGGTATTTTCTTTCGTCCCGCACGTTGCGAGCCAGAACCCCATCGAAATGCCACGGAGCTCAGGGTTTGCCCCTCCTGAATTAGCCGTGTCACTGTCTATAAGCACTAAATGCGGGTCGACCCTGAGTCGAAGAATTGTCAACGGGAATTTGGATCGTCCGTATTCCAACAAAAGCAAAGGCCGGACATTGAAACGTCTGACAGGGGTCTTGACATGAGGCGGAGGTCGTGTCCAAGGTTCGTCCCTTGATCAACGGCTCGCGTCTGAGTCCGCAGAACAAAGCAAGCAAAAAAAAATATTCGACCAATATACCCACCCGTTCAAAGGGAAATCTCGATTGCTAGACAACTGACAAGACTTGTTCGCGACTTTCGGGTTTGACTGAACCCCCAATGAGCGGCTGTCCCGTAGCCGACATCCAGACTCCTGCCTACTCGGAGAGCGGACCTTGCTCTGTATCCATAGCGCGCCTGCGCAATTAGGTGGCGTTCTACGCGTTCTTGAACGTACGTCCTTAATTTTCACCAAATTGTCTAGCGTTCCCAAGCTAGCGCCCCAGCGGCGGAACACACCTCTGGCCACCTCTCAGCGTCCACGAAGGCTGACCGTGCTCTCTCATGACAAACATACAATTCCTACGGATCAACTGACCTTGTCACCTTGAGCAAATGCTTCACACGCATCCTCTCAGTGTGGCCCCTATTCTCGGGAGAGCCGTGACAGGTATGAATTCATTCGCGCCTTGGCCTTGAATCCTCTACTCAATCTTGCTACTTGTGACTGCTTGTGAATCAACTCTGGTACAAGAAACGTCGGGAAATCATTGTCCCGTTGCCTGAATTAATGCGCATCCCTTCTCAGTCTTACGCAGGTAAGGAACCTCCGGACTGCAATTATAGCATTGAGCTAGGGAGAGGATGAACCGAAAAGTTCCTCATCACTTGGATACCGGTTATATGCCTTGTTTCTACCCTGTCGAGTTGCACAAAGGGATGTCGTGAGTCGGGGGGGGAGGAACACCTTTTGCTGCTCATAATCACTCCACGCTCGCCTCTTTGGACCATACGCTACGAGGGTAGGAGAATTGACATCTCCGTATAATCTAGGTGCCCGATGCTTCCGGCGAATTGCCCCTGGGTCTAGGCAGCGTTACGACAACTGCACCCACAACCTTATTATAGGGACACTCAATTCATAGCCAATTCAATG